GGGACCCCAACAACCCCCTCTGCCCCGGGGCCACCCGGGCCAACGGAGAGGTACCACGAAAGATCCAGGCGTCCGGGCTGCCCCCCACCACTCTGGCCCCCTTCCACTGATCCCATCTCTTACGGTCGGCAGGAGTTGAATCCCCAATACGAGGGCACTTTTGTCTTCCCAAATGACTTCCCTGCGCTGCAGCCTGATGCTCCTGAGCCTGGTAACTTCTAGGGGGAGAACAGGCTTCCAGGGACCCCCAGGTTCAGGCCTTGGGAGGGCTGCAAGGTGGCTTGAAGAGGCATGGGTGCTGCCCCAGCACCCTCCGCTTCCCCATCCTCTGTCCTTTTCCAGGTAACAGCGATCACCCCTTGTTTCAAGCTGCAGCAGCCCGGGGGGTGTGGTAAGTACCACCATGGCTCCGAGGGGCTCTGGAACACAGTATTGGCCAGGACCTGTAGGATAAAGCTGGACTGAGACTGCTGCCCTCCTTTTGGTGCCTTGTTCTGTGCAAATCTGCTCTGTTTTGGGGTTCTCACCCCTGGGCCCTGTTCCACTGTGCCAGGCTGTGGGGGTCTCTGGAGTTGACCTGGCAGTCACAGACATGTGTGTCTCCTCCACAGCAAAGTGATGTGCTTCCACCCCTGGTCAGACCTGACGCTGCCCCTCATGTCCCTGTCAGAGATCCGGGCTGTCGTCGACACGTGGGCAGAGCTGGCAGCCGAGCTGGGTGCCTCCTACCCCTGGGTACAGGTCTGTGGGTGGTGGGATCTGCCTTTCTCTCCCGCCCCCGGCAGCCTTGGGTGGATATGGGGGGCTAGGACCATGGCAGCACCTGGGGTTGGGACCACCCCAGTTATGTGTGGGTACCTTGTCCCTTGTGTCCCACTGAGCCTTTCCAGGTGGGTGTGAGGCTCTGCTGTCTGGCAAGATGCCAGTGGTGGGGCATCCCACAGCAGGGACCCTCGGTCTAGGACCTGCTGGCTGCACCTCTTCCTCCGCAGATCTTCGAGAACAAAGGAGCGATGATGGGCTGCTCCAACCCACACCCTCACTGCCAGGTGAGGCTGTCCTGCCTATGATCTGGCTTAACCTTGCGTCCCTGTAGGATCTACAGCAGACTCAGGGGCAAGATGTGAATGGGAATCCCCTCGCTCTGGTCTGAACCCTTTCTGCAGCAAGGATAACCCGCTGCCTGTCTTGTCACCGTCCCTCCTGGGGACTGTCCCTTGTGGCTGCCACATGTCAGACTCTCCACCTGGTGGCAGCACGGATCTACAGATGGGCTGTGTGGCTGGGATACCACTGCGAATATGGGGTACAGGTAACCCAACCCTGCGCCCCAATATCCCTCCCAGGTGTGGGCCAGCAGCTTCCTCCCGAATGAGGCACGCCTGGAGGACCGGACCCAGCGGCAGTACCTGAGCCAGCACAGCGTGCCCATGCTGCTGGAGTACGCCGAGCAGGAGGCTCGACGAAAGGTGGGGGCATGGCTGTTGTCTGTATATCCTCCCTGCGAGCTGGATATTTGCTGTGGTGGGTCCACTAGCCTCCACGAGCAGGGCCCCTGGGGAGCGCCCATCCCCAGGGCATTGGGGCTGCGTGTGTCCCTGTTGAGTGCCGTGTCCCACAGGAGCGGCTGGTGGGGGAGAAATGAGACT